CGCCAGCGGTGCTCACCAGAAATTCTCTGTCGCTCGCAGGAATAAATATACTCGATGTGTCTTCGAATAAAATGCGCAAGTTGCAATTCTCGATCTGTCCAATCGTTGTAATTTAATTTAACAAACACATTCGGAAACGTATCGCCGTCACTAGACAAATAAGAACAAATTGTTTGTCTCACTTAAGAGATATTTGCTAACCTAAAGCTCGCGTTATTGGTTGTTTTTTTTTCTTAATGTTGAAACAATCATAAAGACTATGCGTTTTATGATGTTGCATCGACAATTAACGCCGATGTTTAGCCGCAGTGCGTACGAGTGAGTTCGCGCTTGAACTTGGAATAAGAGCGAAATGAGAACGACTGCATAGGATTGAATTTGGCCGACAGTTTGACAGGGCTTGAAGCAGAGAACGGGGAAATAGTACGGGAAAGGAGGATGAGGGGCATAAAAAGCGCGGTGAATAATAGACTCCAACCCTCTCCAAACATCTCCCTTCTCTATGCATACCGCGGTACCCTGGACCGGAATCTAGGCTTATATTCGAAACGTGTCTTCTCTTCCTTCTCTCTCTCGCGCAGCCCGTTTCCCTTTCACTTCCCTTCTCTCCACGTCGTCGTAGTGTACCGACGACGGGGCTTTGATAGACTTGTAATACACCCGGAAGAAAAATAACCTCCGCCGTTTTTTTTTTCTTGCCCACGGATTAGCGGCGATATTGTATTAGCCTCTTTTGGACCGAGCCGATTAACATCGACGATTACTGTGTACACATTGCTACTCGCACGGATATATTTGCTAAACTTTCGTTTCGAACATTTTTATTAATTAACCATAAATAAATTATTATTATTAAAGAAACATAGAATTGCGTAAAAAGCTTTACATAGAGATCACTTTTTTTCACGAAAATTGACTCGCACGTTATAGTTTTTTTTTGTCGATTCAATCATACCTCGATTCTGTCCCGCAAAATGTTGAATAAAAATTTCCAAAACGTCAGATTTCTATTGTATTTGAAAAAAAAAAACAATTTCATCTCCTGGAAACCGACGACGGTATCGCGACGTAACGCGCGCGGCACCTTCGCATCCGCGACTCTTTTAAAGGCCTCGCGCAGGCCACCAGCGTAGCAAACAATGGTCGAAATCTGTTAATACTCCGGTCGGCAACAATGAACTCGACGTGGCGTGAGCACTTCGAATACCTTTTTGCCGGCGCTAATCCGAATTCGACGAGAGCCGCCGTCGAGTATAAAGCGACCATCGTCCCGGAACGATGTGTTTCCATCGGAGCGACAGAGAAAGAAAGAGACACGGAGAGAAATGAGAGGCATGATCGTTCGTACGTGCGTGCGTGCGTGCCTGCGTGCGTGCGCGCGCGCGCGCGCGTGTGGAGTGTAAAAAGAAAAAAAAACGATAAATAGAGTTCGGGAGTGATTTTCGGCGCGATATGCTTCTTGCTCTCGTTGAGTGCTCGTCACCGTATGTTAGCAAAGAGATCGAAAGCCGTTGTAGCGCAGTCACCGGAAACACATCGTCTATACACATTTACATTGCTTTTGCATGTTAAACATCATATTTTCACAGTGCGCACTGATACGTAGAATGTGTATGGTGAAAAAAAAAAAAAAAAAACAAGAAAAACGTGTAAGTGTGTCAGTGCGCGAAACACTTGCGTAATAGTTTATTGAATAAAAAATATTATTTGACGCAAAATGCTTCAAGATAAAAAACATAATATGGAAGATTTTCCACGATTTCATTTTTATTTCATTCTGAGTTAGAGAGATATTGTGCGCATGCGTTATCTCTGCAATAATGTATGTTAATTAAAATTTTGATATCCTCTCTAAATAAATTAGACGCACGTATATTATCCATTCTTCTCCGATTACGTCGGACGCGGCGATTTCGCTATGCGAAAGTCTGTTGTTCCCTTACATTTACGTTCGCGCATTAACGCGATAATGATAATTAGCCGTCTCATCCGACCTTTCAGCGAAATCTTGCGAATTATACAACTCCGACGTCACTCCGAGAGTCTTCTCCTTTCCTTCCTCTCCTCCGCGTCATGGAAAATCTCTCACAATCACAATTACTGACGCGCTAAGGAGCAAGCGGAACATCGAATGAGGGCGAGAGGAGAGAGGGAGTTCTAAAAAGTGTCGCCGCTTCACAGCGACAACGGAGCGACGTCCAATTTTAATCTCGGAATTACTTCCATTTTATTTCAATTTTCTTGCATTTAAACCGTCTAAGCGAGTTTACCTTCGCAATATCATTGCCGAGGATCGTCGCGAGTCGCCGGCCTGGTCGGGGCCGGCCAGGAAGAGGGAAGGTAAAAGGAAGAAAGAAAGAAAGAGGATAAGAAGAAGGACGTAGAGCGAAGAAGAGTGAGGACGGAAAAAAGGTGGAAGTACCTGCTCTAATAAATTTACGACCTAAAAAGATTAAGCCGCGTTAGCCCTGTTCTTTATATTTCCGCGAGAGGAGCGTGCGCGAGCGCGCTTTCGCCACTAAACGCGAGTCGGTCCCGAGCAAACGAGACGAAGACGGAGCACAGTGGTAAGACGCGATGTTTTCCAGAAAGAGAGAAAGAAAGAGGCGAAGTACGGAGGGGGGAAGAAAGCAGGACGGAGAGCGAGATGGAAAAGAATATACAAGAGAGATACGAAGGGAAATTCGCTTATTTTCCCATCATTTCGGCGTGGCATCTTGTCCGTAGCCTTTTCTCATCCACGGAGCCAGGAAAGAAAATTGCTTCTCGTCCCCGAGAGCGGAATATCGTCCTGATGAGCCCGGGAATGCTCTCTCGATACCCATCCTTCCGCATCCTTCACCTGCCTTCTTTCCGCCCGCCTTTCGTGGAGTTCCAAACCTCCTTGATGCCTCCGACGTTTAACCCCGTCTTCGTTTCACTTCGTTTCCGCGTTCTCCACTGTCTCTCTCTTTCTCTCTCTCTCTCTCTCTCTCTCTCTACTTTTCTAACGATTCACCGCCACTCATTCCCAACGATAACATTCAATTTACTAGTCGCTTGTTATCCGAACGCGATGCTTTTCCCTCCTCGCCGATTCTTTCGGAAGCGCGAAGAAATTTTGATAACGCTCATTAATAAACGTATTCGCGACGTATTAACGCTCATTAATAAACTAAGTTTGCGTGTGAGTTACGAATTTTATAAGATTGATTATAATATTAATTATAAGATTGATTTTTTATGAAAATTTTGTTGTATCAAATTTTTTGCTATATAATACATTTTATTTATTAGTCGTGTATATCATCTTAAAAGAAACCAAAGTCAATATATCTTACGAACGATGATAATCATTATTTGCTAGCTACTGTAAAGGAGGTGGACTCGATTGCTCAGCGTTACTTATCCGTAACAGGCGTTAAGCCTGCCGAAGCAAAAAGCGAGATTCATCGATCGCGCCGATGGATCTCGGCCTCGTTCTCGCCGCCGCGCCGTGTGTATAATTGGTCACGGACGGTACCCGGTGGGCCTTATAGCCGTCGCGTCTCGACGAGGACTTGAATAATTCATAAGCCGAGACCGATAGCATCGGCTCTTAACGCAATAGACTTAAGCGAGCTGCCAACAGCAGCCATGTTACAATAAAGAAATCAACATGGCCGAACCGAGAGACGTCGGGGGATGCCCCCTCCGACGTTTCTTCCCTTCTTTGGGGTCCACCTTGGAAGAGAACCGCGCGTCACGTCGCGTCGCGTCGCGTCGCTCTCTCACTTTCGATTTCGCCCCACGGGCTCGTTACCCTCTTAATGCCGATGGAAGGGTGGTCCCCCGTTTCACCCTTCGATCTTTCTCACTGCGACCCTCTTCTCGCCCCCCCTTTTTCTTAGCCAACGCCGACTCTCAGGGGTGGACCTGGGAGACCCGCCCAGAAAGACATTTCTGCAACCCTCCTTTTAGAGATCGAGAAAGACAGGGAGAAGAGAGAGAGGGAGATAGAGAGAGAGAGAGAGAGAGAGAGAGAGAGAGCGGAAAAGAGAGAGAAAGTCTTGGCAGCCACTTTTCTCGCCCTCTGCATGATCGCACCTCGCCAAAAGGAACTCCATTTTCCACCAAACCTTTCGACTCTCTTTTCTCGTGTGTGCTTTCTCTTTTTCTCACTTTTGCTCTGACTTCGGGAGCTTTGCGCGCTCCGGCTGTTCACTCGCGGTTAGATTTTCTCAGTTGACCGGTCTAGCGAGTCGTGCCGCCCCTTCCTCACGGTGAAACTCGTCTAACAGTCAACCGTAAGTGCCAATGTCAACTCGAGGAATGCAACGGATGTTCGTAATCTATCAATTACAGATCGGCCGTAATTATATTTCTGACATTGATATAATAGTACATTTGAAATATAATTAATGCAAACGCATATGTACGCGGGAAATTAATCAACCACAAATCATAAAATTTTTTTTTTCGGTTTGTATTATTGCGATTTAAACTTAACACAGATACTTTAAACACGTAATTAAAATAAATTCTCGTTAAGCAGCTTTTGCCATCGTTTAATCCTAAGAGACTGTAATTACGGTAGTGCGTAGCATAAGAAATTCTCGTGTACATAATAATAGCATAATGGAAATCGAATATTTTGTCAAAGTCAAAAGCGGTATCTCGAGTCTGTCGTGGAGATCGGAGGAAGAATGAGAAGAAAGGAGGGCGCCCTTTTCCTCAAGTATACGGTAGTGACACGTAACCATTATCGCATCTCGGCGGCTAATGAGAGTTTGTGCCGCCATTGTTCCCGATTTACGCCGAGTAAAACATCGTAGAGAGAGAGAGAGAGAGAGAGAGAGAGAGCGCTTAATGAATTTTCCGAAATTAAGTTCACAAAATGTTAAACGCGGCTAATATCATCACTTATCTCCCACAATCGGAAGAGACGGTAAAATTTATCTTGTAAATTCATGTCATGGAGCAAATAAGTATGTTTGTCGCTTTTTTTTTCTAAAATTGTTCTCTCACGTCTTGTGTTTCAGGTCTGGTTTCAGAACAGACGGGCCAAATGGCGTAGACAAGAAAAAATGGAAGCCGCCAGACTGGGCTTGAGCGAATATCATCACGCTGCTAATATGAGGTTTGTTTTTTTTTTTTTTACGGCCGAATCGAATGCCACGCATATAAATCTTTGTAGCGAAAATATGTACAACATTGCGGAGGTATTATTGTGTTTTAGGAACGTTGCCGGTCCGGCTCTGGGTCTGCCAGGAGATCCTTGGCTTACGCCGCCCGGATTGCTCAGCGCGCTTCCCGGTTTTCTCGCTGCGCCTCACACAGGATATCCCAGTTATCTAACGTCACCGAGGCGACTGCCGTCACCGCCAAATGTCGGCGCCGTCGGCAATCCCGTTCCAGGTAATAAGGTTTATGTATGTATGAAAGCGTTCCGCTTTCTTTTCGCGAATAGAAAATGTTCCATTTACGTTAATATGTGTGTTATCCATGTTTAAAAATCATGTTACGTTTCTCGATGCGTCTCTAAAATTCTGAAGTTATTACATTTTTCAATTTTGATACGAGCGTTTGCGTATCGAGTTTTGTTATATCAAAATTAAAAAACAACCAGTGTGTACATACACATATAAAAAGATTGGAATTTCCCTAATGTATTTTACTTTTTGTAATATAAAAAAAGCCTTAGGTAATTGAAACAATTGACAATGTTAACTTGCAATTAGACTTGGTCCACACGAAGCGTTTTGTAAAAACATAAACAAAACCGCGCGATTGCGTGTGTAAGCCAATAGACAATCCAATGGTCATTACTAATGCGCGTTACAAAACGCTTTGTGTGAACCAAGTACTTACTATTATCATACATGCTCAACGAGAGGTAGGGATTGCTTTGTTCGCAGGATCGCTAGTTAGCAGCATGGCGAACATAAGTGCTGGCGGTCACGTGCAACCACCGCCGCCGAGTCCACCGGGCCACGATCCACGCACGACGAGCATTCAGGCGCTCAGGATGCGGGCCAAGGAACACGTCGAGAGCATCACTAAAGGCCTGCAGATGGTCTGAAGGTTAACCGAAGATCTGTCGAGGGCGCGCGTCGCAGCAAACCACATCGACTTCACGCTCGTAGCAGCGTGACGAGGAAGCGCGAGCACTGGCCCTTCGCTCGGGCCGGTTTCCGAAGAACTGCCTGAGAGCAGCAAGCGGAGGAGCGGTATGTCGACCGACGAGAGCGAGAGAGTTCGTTCCGTTGATAAAACATCGGTGAACGATGCTGCACACGAGATTTTTGTAGAAAAGACGATTGTGTGAGGAGAAACCTTAGGAAAGATCTTGTTTCTATAGTGGTTAACTCACGTTATTATCCCGATAAAACGCGTTCGAGAGCGAATCGCGAGAAAACGTTGGAGCGATGCGCGCTCCAAGTCGGCGTTGTGCAATAGGCGAAAGAGAAATTACGTTGCGCGAACTTTTGTGTATTTGAGGTGAAGATAAGAGAAGGTAGGTTTTGATTATAATTGGTCGCATTGCCATTAACTTTTTTCGAAGCGTCTGAGAAGAAAAAAAAAAATATATATATATATATATTGCCGTAAAGATATATATGATGTGAATAACTTCGAAAGAGTTGTAAATATACTTGAATCGAAATTCTATAATAGAAACTACTTGTAATCTCATTACCAATAATTATTAATCTTGCTGTTAAAACGATTATATTGAGAATTATTGTTTGTTACCTGCGTATCTTGAGAAGATCATTAGATTTTTGATATAGCGAAGATAAAAGATCGAGTTTTCTTGGATGCGTTTTCGAGATCGTGCTTGTCGGCCGAATATTTCCTCGCAACTCGAGGCAGGTTGCGCTCAAAAGTCTTCGTATAGGAGAATACACGCGCGTTTGAATGAACGTCAGACGTAAGAAACACGTTAAACGTAATGTCAGACGTTAAACGTAAAAAAAAAAACCGGAAGTCGGTCGGTCTTTTTTAATAAAAGATCTTGGATCGGCGGCGCTCACGAATCCGACGACGATCGCGGATCGTCGATCGATGGGAACTAGCGAAATATCTCTCTTGTAGAATATAGAATAAAAGAGACATACACACACGAGGAGGCGAGAAAAGTGAATTTTGACATAAACAATATTCTGCAGTATTAATACGTTAAGGCGAAAGGATTGTGCATATTATCTAAATGCCATCGTGGTATGTAAATTCCAGAAAGAGAGAGAGAGAGAGAGAGCGCGCGGAGGAGGATTCTCACTCTCTTCCGATCTTGTAAAATAAACAAATTGATATAAGATTCACTTCTCGCGCGCGATATGTGCAAAATCGTAAGATTAGTTGACATTTTCTGAATGTTAAAATTCGGAGATTTCTTTAGATTTTTGTATGTTTTTGTTTTTAGATTTTTTTTTTTTTTTCAATCTTTTAAAATCTTCGCTGCGATTGATTTATTTTACAATTAGATGTGATATATATATATATATATATATATATATATACATACAAAAATTTTCTGTTGAAAAAGATTGTCTTTTTATTAGAGATCCTAATGTACTTATTATTAAATTAATAAATTTACTTACTCTATATTTTGTATAGAATATATTTGACAAATACTTATAATCAACTTATTGACAAGTGAAGCTGATCAACCTCCGCGGTCTGTAAGCGAGAACTCGTAGAGAACAAAGGAACATAGTTAGTCACCTCCCGGACGTCTATTTGTATATATATCTGCTCGTGACAGAATAAATTTGATGTACATATTTAATCGTATCATATCGTTTGAAAACACAAAACCAGGGCCTCCTTTATTGAAATAAAAATACAAACAATGATAATATTAAAATAGAACAACAAAGTTTTCTATCCTCTCTTATCATCAATATGTTCCCTTCTTGACATCCGAGACAGTGCTATTTCCTTCTAATTGAGTGAAAAAAGTTATGAAATCTAAGTATTAAAGTTTGACGTATCAAGGAATCTTGCCGATTACTTTTTTACTCAGAAAAATATTCAGAGTTGTCGCTCTGCATCTGTTATTTTATTTTACAATAGTTTCTCGTTAAGAAATCTGGTAAGAAAAAGTCTCTCACTACAACAAAACAATGATTTACAATCTGTTTTGATAGTCGCAGTGAGAGATCGCTCTTGTCGCGCGTTCACCTACAATTGTTCCTTAATTACTTTCATGAACTAATTTATAGATCAGAAAAAATCTATCTGCTACACACTGTTAATCGATGTTCTCCTTCGTTTAACGAGATATCACCGTGTTTATTACTATAAGACTTCTCTTGATTATTTAATCTGATTATTTTGTTGGCAAGTTACGCTTTTCGCACACCAGTAACAAATCGGTGTAAGAAATGTGTATACCAAGAAAATTTTAATTTTCACGAAGAAAGAGAGTAACGCACATATTTGCGAAGGAATTAACATATCAAAGAACGACTTTAATTAAGTCTTAATTCATGTTCGTGAGAAGAAGGAGAAAGTAAGAGAGTTGCAGTTGGTAGAAATCCACCGCACATCTTTCTTCAGGTTTAATTAAAACTGAAAATTTGTGTGTATGTGTGTGTGTGGTGCGTGCGTGCGTATTTGATAAAAACATGAGGAATACGTTGCCTTTTTGAAAAAAAAATTCAAAGTTATATCTCACGGTATTTGAAATTTTCTATCTCCCTGAAATTTTTCTACTTATCGATCAGGCCCATTGTACAAACGCGACCAATCAGATGGGCCTTTTATCACGTCCTGTCCATACATTCCCTGGCTGGGGATTTAACGCAGCGGACGGGCGATTCGATGCAAATGCCGCTCGGAAATTCCGTTTGCGCGAGCAAACGTGACAGCGAACGTGTGCAAGCCGATCATCTTTTTCGAGGGTGGCGAAAAAGCAGCAGCAGCAGCAGCAGCAGCGGGGGCAGCGTCGGGGCGTGAAAGGATTCGGCGTTAACAGGCACCAACAACGGCAAGTCGATGGAACAATGGTGCTGAATGGTCCCCGGACGATTAGGTATTCCAATCGTTGCGTTAGGGGTTGCTATGTGAAGTGCGGCGGGGGTGAGAAGGAGAGAAAAGGCGGGTTTCAGCGGCAGCGGGGTCGGAGGAAGCGGGGTGCAGTCAAGGGGGGCCGGTGCGGTAAGAGGGCGCCAGAACTCACCCAATAAAATGGTAATTTCTGTTTGCGGAAGTTAACCATGCGAGCGAGCTTGGAGATTCGAGTCCATGCGTACTCCCTAACTCCAAAGACTAATAATACTCGAGGCAGAACGCTACTGACAGTGATATAGTTGTACAGTTGGAAGAAGGCGCGGGTGAAAATCGTGCGAGAAAGAGAAAGAGGGGAAGAGAGAATTCTCTCGCGTGAGCAAAGGAGTTTGTGGAGAGCGCGAGAGTTGCGGGACGTGAGTGGAAAAGTCAGCGAAACTCGGAAAATTAAGGATACAGTTTGAGATTTCATCCCGTCAAATTAGAAAAAACGATAGGAATAGGAAGTATTAATTTATGAGGTTGACGTATCTAGAAATATACACTAACTTTCATAAAATAAAACGTCCATATAAATTAAAACTTTAATACGCATATGAAATTATATATATATATAATAACAAACTTATATAACAAGAATGTGAAAAATATCCGCTTAGATGACAAATAGATGTCAAACAGTTAACTTATTTGTGCTTTTAAAGCTTGAAATATATATCGCTTAAAAGAGTTTTTTTTTAAACATTTCGATCTTATTCGGTTACAGAATCCGTTTATAAAATAGTAACACAGAATGATATATCTCATTCCCTTAAAATATTTCCAAAATGACAAGATAGAAGATATATTTAGAAGTAAAAATCTCTTATGCGCACGAATTTACATAAAATTCTTAAAATTCTGTAATTTTTTCAAATATCGCTATCGTGCGATATTTGAAATTAATGATTGATTTATAAACACTAATTCGCGCGATACTTGACCTAGCTGGTTGATCGTTAATCTCGTGTATATCAAATTAGCGGTAAAGGCGTATATACTCCTCGACCCTCGAAGACGACAGGCAATATCTTGCTGAACTTGAAATTGGCACGGAAATCGTGGCTTTATTAAATTTGTTTAGGAACAGAGAGAGAAAGAGAGATAGAGAGAGAGAGTGGGTTGGTAGGCGGACCTTGATTTCGGGCAAACCGTCGTCTATCTAATATCTCCCGATGCCCGTCCTGCCTAACCTTATTGCCCCGACAAAGTAAAGAACCAGCAAGGAGACTCGAATAAGACCAGTTTTCGGCCCGATGCAACGTAGATCAATGGAGCGGTAAGCTAAACCGACTGGAATCTGCAAACAGCTATAAGGAGAACTTGATACCACTGAAAAAGTACGAAGCACACGTATCACGTTACACGAAATAAAATTTAGAGTCGATGTGCGCATAATTTGTTTCAGCTCGTATATAGATGCAATTATATGATACAATATTATAAGAAATTATGTGAGAGAGAAATACGTTTAAAACACGAAATTCTAGAATTCATCAAATTGACAACAAAAGTCCAAAATTTATTGTAAAAAAAAAAAGAGATTTCAGATTGATATAAAAATTAAGAAGAATAACAAACATAATCGCTTAACAATATATTATTTTACAAAGTTTTACATTTTCTATATGTTATATTTATATTTTCTACTGTTGAACAATATTTGTCTGTTGATCTGAACTTTTTGCCCGATCTATTTCATCATTAACATATTACGAACGCGCTACTCCAAACTCGATTGTTCGATGAGCTTTATTAGTTGCACATTATAATTACGATAACAGCCCGATGTAAAGAACGCTTATTTTCCCAGAGCGCCATACGCACACACCAAAAGCAAAGTAATAATTGTCGTGTAATTAACGTATTATTGCGCGTATTGCAATGCGTGTATGACTTCATTTTGCAAACTTCATTTGTTCAATTAAATTTGATTCGATATAAAAGCGACAACGTATCACTCGATATCACTGGTACGCCTTATAATACATAAAGTCGTATTAATTTCTGAAGACAATTGTTCGATCTATTTATATATTGAACATCAATCACGAATCTTGTGAGAATGTGTTTTATTCTCTTAGCGGAAAGAATTTCAACTCTCGGTTCGTGAATCGCTTAGTCAATCTTGCCAATTGCGTTGTCACTGTCGATGTCCGAGCGGGACGCAAATCTCGCAAACTGCATTCATTCCGCGAGAATCACACGGTTTGGTTTCACCCAACTGTATAAATACACACACGTACTGCACATGTGTGCGGAAACGCAACTGTCTAATAAATATAGTCAGTACAGTAGCCGGCGTCGCTAAAGGAGAGCGACGACGACATTTGCCCCCCGGTTGCCCTTGCCTGACTGTTTAGCATTATTAATTAGAGCTAAAGTCGCACTAAGTTGGCGAGTACATAAACAGAAATAATATTTGCACAGAGCGTTCATTAGACGGGCGGCGGCAACGGTGGCGGCGAAGATACGAGATGGCAGCATAAACGAGCCGGATTCTCATTAAAATAACCGTGCCTTTCCTTTTCGCTTCGCGGAGACATCAGCGGCGAAAAAAGGATGATTACGACGGAGCGGCAGGCGGTTCGCGCACGGGAGAGCCGCGACTTGGAGGGGGTCCAAAGGCGAACAAAGTGACCGCGCGAGGCCGCGAGGAAGGTTGGCGCGATCCCCCTTCTCTTTTTCTCGTCTCCTGCCCCCGTCTCATTTTACCCGTTAGCGGCGGATGGTGGGACTTTTGTCCGCAACGGGGCGAGGCTGGTGACGAACGAGGGGAGGGAGACAATGTGCTGGGTGAGGGACGAGAGGATGGCTAGTGAAAGAGTCGCGGGGAGAACGGAGTTACCGGGTAGTTTAGCTACCACTAGGTAACTTAAATGAAAGTCGCGGTTGCCCCTTAACGCGAAAATACGTTGAGGGAAAATTTCGTTTTTTCACCCTGATTAATGTAATACCCGACGTCGCGCTCCCGGGCACGCTAATTGGTCATTCTCGACCGTCGCCGCCGCGCCGCAGCTTTAAGAGACTCGCGACACTCTCGTGAGCGCGACACGTGCGAAACGATGCTTTCTGTGTTTCCCGCATGTCCTCTTATGTGTTCTCCTGTGCGCGCACACGCCGCTGGACGAATGGAATCAAATTACCTCGGAAGCGGAGGAGAGAGAGAGAGAGAGAGAGAGGAAGAGAAAGAATAATTTAGGCTGATCGCGTGTGGAAAGATAGTTTGAAAGACGGTGTTTGTTAGAATTTTAAACTTACAGAGTTAGTTGATAGAACGGAATTTAAATTCGATTGTTGTTTTTGCATAGGCGACTCTTGAATAGACAACGAATTAGAATTATTCGAATATCGATAAAAGCATCAGATGATTATAT